TCAGTATTTAAAAAATTCCACTGGATCGTATTTTAAGGAAATCCAGAAAAAATTATTTAACAAAATAAATAAAGATTACACTGAATCACATTTCCAAGAAAATTGCTTAATAATATAAGTAAAATTAAAATGATCGATATTCAAAAAATTCCACTGTGTCATATTTTCATAAATTCGAAAAAATTTATACAGCTACATATTTCCTAAAATTATTTAAACTGCTGCAATTTCAAAAAACAACTTCGTCACAAAAACATTGACCAATTTCTTCACTTTTTGAAAACAAGATCCACTTGAATCTCTCCCTTCTCCCTCTCACCCATTCAATGGAATAAAACAATAAATTCGTACCATTAGCATTCCGTATCCAACAGTGGCGCCAATGAACTGAGCTATTACATAAACGATGCCCGTTGGAATGGTTTTAATGCCGAATATAACTGCTCCGATCGTGACAGCTGGGTTCATGTGTGCGCCACTTATGTGACCCAACATCTGTGACAAAAATTACACTTTTTACAATTGTGTTTCTAATTACGATCAGACATTTTTTCCACGTACGCTTTACTACCATTCTCCGGTACATTTCCCAAAGGACGACGTATCCTTACCATAATGAGAAGGTTGACGGTCATACCGAACGCTATGGAGGCCTGCAATGGCGGCGGTGGCGTATGTCCCATAGTCCCCAAAGAACCCATGCAACCCACGAAAAGAAGCACTCCAGTGCCCACTATCTCAGCGATGAACATCGTCATCGTACCCTTCTCCATGGACCACTTTCCATCTAAAAAAAAAAAACAAAAAATATCGAATTTCTTTATTCTTTAAATTCTCATTCGAGGCTTCTAGGTTGGAGCTCTGTTGGGCTGAAGGAACCCCAACTCGACTGTGCTTTCGGTCCCCAAAAAAAGACAAGAAAAGTTATAGCTCTATCCAACGGTAATTAAATTCCAACATTTCGCCAAAATTAAAGTTAGCCTGATTAAGGTATGGAAAACTACTTGTATCATACAGGGTGTGTCGTTGTACAATATACAAAGAAACCTGTGAAACAAGGAAACACCCGAATGATATCAAGTTAGTTCTACTTGAAACACGTTTCTCCTGATTTTTGACTTAGAGATTTTGAAAATCTTCAACTGAAATCCAAGAAGACACGCGATATTATCGGTATGTCTCTACAGTCTGTTGAATTTAATTACCATTCCGACCAGCAAACCTCTAATAAAGAAACCAAGCAATCGATACAGCGAAATCCTGAAAAAGTGCTTCCTCTTTTTCGACGGGAGAAAATGATCGATTGAAACTTACTTTGGGAATCTTTGCTTCGCGTCTCGATCTCCATGGTGCACCAGCAAACCTTTACCTTGCACTAACAGCCACCGTTACGGTACTGTTACCACAATCAGCACTTGGATTACGTCCGACAATACTAATCATCGGTGGCTATCGGGAGCTTCGCAATATTAGTTTAAAAAGGAACTGTCTTATCGATGAGTGTAACGATACGTTCGCATTCTTCGCCGAATCAGTGCTCGGTTGTGCAGCTCAAGAGGAGTTACAAGAAAATTTCATGTCTCTGATATTAAAATATCGCCAAGGTTAATAGTATCGCGCGTGTCAAGCCTCTGTGATTCATGCGTCACGTTAACTCTTTCAGGTACAGAGGCCAAGGAACGTTTTAACACTCTATACTGCTAATAAAAACAATTAAATCTGCTCTCTCTCTTTTCCTCTTCTGCCTTTTCTATTTTACACTTTTAACGATGAAAAAACCAACTGGGTAATTAATTACTTATCTTGTTTTTTCTCTCGCTGGAATAAGTTTGTATTTACAATGGTTGCACCGGCGCTACACTTTTTCTCGCCGTTATCGGCGCTACACCTTTCCGTCACGGTACAGTCGGACGAAGAAATTTGGTAAAATTGTATCATTGTGAAACAGCGTTGAGGGGTTGCACACGTTTCTGGATTTGCAAAAATCGATCGTTTTACCTATTTCGAGAGATAATAATAGGTTAGGGAGAAAGTCTTTTTACAAATTAAGGCATAGTTGAAACTAGAGCTGTTACTTAACACTTTACCGACCGGTAGCCTATTCGGCTTTTTGCTGCCAACACTTACCGACCGGTAACCTATTAATCCACTTTTTTTTCGCCGACGCTTACCGACCGATAGCCTATTAACCGGTCAAAGTTTCATTTAACATTTCTACAGGTATAAGAAAAAGCGTGTATATTCCCGAGCAATAGCCTAGAGTCTAAACAGAGCCGGTGTCACCGATGTATCTGTGGCCGAGTGACCGGTCGAAAGTGCGTAGAATGTTCAACCGCTACCGGTCGGTAAAGTGTTAAGAGATACCCGGATACCCGGGTTACTCGTGAGATACTCGGGTAATCAGAAAGTACCCGGGTAAATAGAAATTATCCGGGTATCTCATGAGATGAGACAGCTGAGGGTAGATATCTATGATTCCTCGACTGTTTCGGCAGAGGTCTCAAAACAATATTGTGTAGGGTACAGGTGCACTTTGACACGTCGGCATCGTTGCATCGCTGTCGCGTCCGATCCGCATTTCTTTGCCCGGGGAACCACCAGCGGTAGTGGCCACCGAGATTTCGACTGTTTTATGTACATATTCGAGTACTCGCGAGATACCCGGGTCGATCGGGTTATTTTCATCTACCCGGGTATCTCAGACAGATTTTTGAAATTATTTACAAATCTTTTATTAAACTAAATACGTGCCATTTTGATCAACGACCTTTTGCCATTTTTCGGGTAAAACCATTATTCCATCTGTGTAGAACTTCTGAGGTTTCTGGGCGAAAAACCGAGACAGGTGATTTTCGCAGGCTTCTTGAAGTGAAGTTTACCCCATTAAGGGAGTTCTGCAGAGGCCGAAACAGATGGTAGTCCGACGGTGCAAGGTCAGGACTATACGGTGGATGAAGCATGATTTTCCAGCGAAGCTCTCTTAATTTTTGCCGAGTTGTCAAAGACGTGTGCGGCCTGGCGTTGTCCCGATGAAAGTTGATCAATTTTGGTTGCTCTTCCTGAATTGACTGCTTCAATCGTATTAATTGTTCGCAATAAAGATTAGAATCGATCAAAAAAAAAAAATCGACGAAACCAATTTGCTGCTGTTTGTCTCGATACCGCACTTTCTCCATAAACACGACACATTTTATTAGTTGCCTGTGCAGCGTTTCTTCCCTTTTTAAAATAAAAGAGCAAAATGTGTCGAAAATGTTCTTGATGTTCACTCACCTTCAAATTGCAGCAATAGCGCTCAAATTCTCTATAAATCAGGTTCAAAATGCTCTGTGAAATGTCACCTTTTCAACGACACATAACTTGATACGTGGAAACCAACGGAATGTTGAAAGACCGAACCTCAATCTGCCGTCGATTTGTAAAAGGACTTTTTCCCCAACCCAATATTTTGTGGAAATATTTCGAGGCTAAAAGAGGTCTCGAAATTTAAATTATCGACGAAGTTACTGAACTTATTACTCGAAAGTAAAATATCGTTGCAAAATTTTAAATGTTCTTTTCTTTATTTTTAACCCTTTCGTTGTTAGCGAAATATTGAAAATTTTCACTTTTACCTTAATTCGATCTTCAATTTTGTGCCTTGTGCACTTTAATTTAATAAAAAGAATTTTGTAACGATAAACTAAAAATTCTTCAATTTTTTCAAATTTAAAGACGTTCAAATAAAATATTTTATTCTACCATGCGCGTTACAAAAATCTGCCGCAGTGAAAGGGTTAAAATCCACCGTTTCACGTAAGAAACATTTTTCCACGAGAAAGAATCACGCAAGAAAAATCCATAAAATTGCCGACATCGTTAAAATACGAGTAAACGTTCGATGACCACCAACTCGCGCATTATTCATGCAAAATCGCTCGCGATCCTATCAGAAAGTGACCATAGATCGCAGCTTAAACTTTATTTCCAAGAAGTACCCACTTCTTCCACCTTACAATAATACAATTTCCTCTATCTCAAGAAACCTCTCTAAAATCCCCGCATTACTACCAATAACACATAATTTCCTGAAATCTCTCCTGCATTAAACTGCCTCTAAATTACAACCCAAACAAACCCCAGAAAACCTTCCATCAGTCTTACAGCGCAAGCGCCAACGCCGCATAATCCACCGTCATTTTCCCTCGCACTCAATCGTCGAGAGGTTCTCCAACTGTACGTTCACCCCGAAAAACCGTTAACACCGATCAAACATGGTCGAAGAAATCGCGAAGAAATCGAATTACCGCAACGTCAATTACAAATTGGACACCGAGTACGCTGTTCGAGTAGCAAAAGCGCTTCTAACACCGATCGGTATCTGGCCAAGGGAGGATTCTCTTCGCGACAGAGTCCGACTGTTCGCTCAAACTGGCGTGGTCTTCGCTTTGATGTGCTTTCTACTGGTACCTCACGTGATCTACACTTACTTCGACTGCGAGGATCTGACGAGGTACATGAAGGTAATCGCGGCGCAAGTGTTCAGTCTGTTGGCGATCATCAAGTTCTGGACGATGATCGTGAACAGGAAAGAGATCAGATTCTGTCTGCTGGAGATGGAGACGCAGTACAGAGACGTGGAGTGCGAGGAGGATCGACAGGTGATGACGAATTGCGCGAAAATCGGCCGATTTTTTACTACCCTGTACTTGGGACTTTCTTACGGTGGCGCTTTGCCGTACCACATTATTCTACCTCTGATGTCGGAGAGGATTGTCAAGGAGGATAACAGTACTCAGATACCTCTGCCATATTTGAGCAACTATGTTTTCTTCGCGATCGAAGACTCGCCGATTTACGAGATTACATTCGTCTCGCAGATACTGATTAGCAGCATCATATTGTCGACGAATTGTGGGATTTATAGTTTGGTCGCTACTATTATTATGCATTGCTGTGGCTTGTTCGAAGTGACCAGCAGAAGGATGGAGACTATTTCTGTGCCCACTGGGAAGGATATTCGGGGTAGACTTAGGGACGTCGTTCAGTTTCATCTGAAAGCAATTAAGTAAGATGTGTTAATTGTGCCCTTTTTGATTTTGGTTAACCCTTAACGCGTTAACTGCTACGCTGGTTTTTAGGGACCGGCGCCAGACTTTTCTGCGTTAAATAGAAAATATAGTATTTTATTAAAAATTAATGTGATTTTATTAACCAACTTAAACAAAGATGCGGTTTCCTTTGCACGTGTTACAATAAGTTACTACTCTTTTCGTTGAATTTTTTCAACATTGTAAATTATGCGGGCAACAGAATTTTGAAAAGCTTTGATATGGCCTGCTGAGAGAACGATACTGTAGCGTATCGGAAAGTCTCGTGCCGGTCCTTAGAAACCGGTCATGAGCCGACATAAAAAATGCATAATTTGAGTATTTAACGTTGACTGCCACGTTGGTCACCTGTGATTCTATTCTCGATGGGGCTACGGTGGTCATCAGTGGTCGGAGGGCCTCGAATGTTTAAAGTAATTCAAATAAAATGAATACCGCCGATTAAAAGTTTCGAACATCATAGCTAGCTAGACATTATTTTGAGTTAAAAAAAATAATAATAATGAAGCGTAATAGAACACTACGCTTAGAGTAACGAAAATTTTCTTGCGGCACCCGGAGCAAAACGTGCAAATCTGGCGTGGCAGTCAACGTGTTGAGGTGATAACTGGTTACGTGAAACTTTCTGTGAGACTGATATTTTTAAAAGCTGATAGAATCACGAAATTCTCGTAAACTTTTTTAGAACTCGATAGAAACTGGACTTAAGAATTTGTTTTCTGCATTGGTACATTAATAGATTTAACCCTTTGCAGCCCTATGTCGACTCAGACTCGACATAAAAATGTTTGCCTTCAGATGTCATGCAATGGTACAGTGACCAAGAAAAGTATTCATGCGCCCTATAAAATGGAATAACTTTTTTAAAATTTGGCCAAACGACTTGAGTTTTTTTGACAAGTTAGAAAGATTAGTTTACTAGATGACGTGTGAAAAAATTTTTTGAAAAAACTGCAATTAGTCGGAATCGCGAAGAAAATAGCGAAGGTCGTTTTTACAACTTTTTTATCTGAGCTCGTAATGAAAATTTAAAAAAAATGTTTTGTAGATCTGTGTCGATTATACACACGCTGAAAATTTCAAATTTGAAAACGCCTGTACATTTTAAAATTAGTTTAGGCGTTATCGATTAAATAAATATAATTTTGTTAAGCAACTTTCGCGAGTAATTATTTACACCACGTCATTTCCAAAATTACGAAGAATATGAATTTAGCGTAACACATTCAAGAAATGTCGGCAGATTTATAAACGAAGCAGCCTCACAGACGGCATTTGACTAGTTAAGGGTTGACACGTGATATTTGATTGTAATAATTGTTTTTTATTTATTAATAATTAAATATAGATTCGCTGAAATGATCGAGAAAGCACTGAACATCGTGTTTCTATCAGAGATGCTTGGCTGCACTATCATCATATGTTTCCTGGAATACGGTGTAATCGTGGTACACAAGAGAACATTATTTAGATAGAAAGGAAGAAGATCGTTGTTATAATTCGGTGATTTTAGGATTGGGCCGATCACAAGACACTCAGCATGATGACGTACTTCGTTCTGATGACATCGATATTCGTGAACGTGTTCATAATCTCGTTCATCGGTGATCGTCTTAAACAAGTGGTATTTTTTACTTTCTAACAGAAAATTGAACCGATTTTTCACGCGTTTTTTAATTTTTAATCTTGATTTATTCGTTGAAAAGAGCGAAAGAGTAGGCGAAACGTCGTACTTCATGCCGTGGTACGATCTTCCGGACGATTTAGCCAAGAATATAAGAACGATCATACTAAGAGCCAGTCATCCGTCAAGTTTGTCTGGCGCCAAGTTGTTCGATCTTTCGCTTCAAGCATTTTGCGACGTGAGTCTTGACGAATTAACCCTTTCGATACGGCTATGTCGTTCGCGAATATGCTCCCGCGAATATACATCGTCCTTTTTCTGTAGGAAACGGTACTTGAAAAGAGCAGTCTTAGTCGGCATGACCCATGAATTACTTTATTACTTCAAATATCTCGAAGTTCGCACACCTGGACACCACATGCGCCAGGACAATAAACAAAACCTTCCCAAAATAAACCAAATTTCCCCACTTCCACACCATCAGACAGACACCCTTCAAGCATCCCGAAACACCAATCACCAGACATTTCCACCACATACGACAGCTTCACACCACCAATCACAACACACACCTAGTTGATAAAATAGCGAACACAGACACTCTAAAGAGAACTCATCATCAAACACACCGCGAAGACAGATCACAAATTATACACCGCGAACAGATCAGAAATTCAGAATAGTACAATTGTAGGAACCAAAGGAAAAATTTCGAGGGACACAACGGGAATCGAACCCGGGACCTTAGGCTTAGCAAGCCGAGGCTTTGCGCGCTACGCCAACCACTCCCTCTCTATTGTCCCTTCGAGGTTTCCCTATTTGGGTATGGAGACCCCGATACTACCACTCCATCATCCTGAACTGACATTCGCCGCCCTCGAATGTCCTAAGAGTTCAATACCTCGACAAACTCAACACTTTCGGGTACACTCCCCCAACAATTCTCTCAGCCGAAACTCTATTTCTCAACTCTTTTGAGAGACGTGCACCCCTCAACATGTTTTCATCGCACACCTCCTGGCTTCGTGTAGCCGTAGATGCCTCCATCCCGGACGAGCCCCCAACCATTTGTAGGAACTAACGACGGAAAAATCTTGAGGGACCTTCCGCCTTAGCAAGCCGAGCCTCTGCGCGCTACGCCAATCACTCCCTCTCTATTCTCCCGTGTCGGTTTCCCTATTTGGGTATGGAGGCCCCGATACTACACTCGCCCATCCTGAACTGACATTCGCCCTCGAATGACCTAAGTTCAACAACTCGACACTTTCGGGCACACTCCCCCACACAGTGGCACACAGTCGAAACAACGCATTTTTGGGAGATGTGCAGCACCCCTCAACATGTTTTCATCCCACATCTCCTGGCTTCGTGTAGCCGTAGATGTCTCCATCCCGGACGAGCCCCCATTTGTAGGAACCTAGGGAAAAATATTGAGGGGACCCAACGGGAATCGAACCCGGGACCTTCGGCTTAGCAAGCCGAGGCTTTTCGCGCTACGCCAACCACTCCCTTTCTATTCTCCCGTATCGGTTTCCTATTTTTGGGTACACAGGCCCCGATACTACACAATTGTTAATAGTTAGAGAAATATATTATAGTTAAACCTAATATCAACATTCACCAATCCATCCTCAACCTAGAAATCAGCCTTCGCGCCATTAATTTGTCACGAGTGTATCTCGAAACATTCGCGTCCGATCGAACAAGCATCGCGACGCAATTTTGAGTGTACACTCGTCGAGAATAAGGCTCGACCGAACGGGTCAGTTACAACGCGAACGTATATTTTATCGCGGACTAGACAGGACGGGGTATCACGAAAAAGTTGTAAACCGATGCAAAATATCAATGGGTGACCATAGTCACCGGTAGTACACAGCCAGCGTCAAACGATGGGTGACTATAGTCACCCGTAGTATCGAAAGGGTTAATCTCGATTCGTTTCATCAAGATTATTAAAGATCTTGAAGTATAGACGAATTTCAATGAAAAGAGAATAAATGTTTATAGGTTTGCAAAACTTCTGCGGCCTACTTCAATTTTCTACAAGCAATGACAGGATGAAGATTAGAAAAGAATAAAGAACTCGTTTCCAATTGCTTTGGTATTTATAAATCAAATAAGACATAGTAAGAAACAACACTTTGCACTTGACATTAATCGTCGTTTTAGTTACTTCGAAATGTCCAACAAACAAACAACGAACTGACAAATATTGCGCTCCGTTGTTCGAATAACTAAATTCGTACGATGATATGAGAAAAGGAAAGAATAAAACATCAAATACACATCGTTCTCTTGTAAATTCTACACCGAGAATCATTTTAATAGCTGACAAGTAGTTTTCGAAAATCGTCGTATGATATAGCAATCGACCTATCGTCAAACTTGAGGATATCAAAATTGCTCGTAAATACACGATTTTTTCATTGTCTCGCGTAAATTTCCTACCGTGCAGAGATGGAAAGATGGCTAAAGAGACGAGACAGGGGTAAAAAAGGTTTTGCTACGCCTTATCCTGTCTGCGACCCTCCCAAAATTTCCGGTTGTCGATTCTTGGCGACGTACAATGACACTGTACTGTGCAGAGACGAGAAAATTGCTAGGGGGATAGCTGAAAAGAAAGAGGAGACTTCGGTTGCTCCGCCTTTTCCTGTCTGCAATCCTCCCCAAATTTCCAGTTTTAGGTTCTCGGCGACGTAAGCTGACACACAGTTGCGGCTATTAATTTCCGGTCAGCTTTGAACAGTATAACTTTCCTGAAATTGAACCAAACGACTTGAGTCTTTTTGAGAAGTTAGAAGGATTAGTATACTATTTAGATAACGTGTAGCAAAAATTTTGACAATTTTGCAATTTGTGGAAATCGCGAAAATTGTATAGGTCACTGTTTACAACTTTTTTATCTGAGCTTGTAATTTAAATTTAGAACACAGGTTTTGTAGATTTGTGTCAATTATACGCATACTGAAAATTTCATCGAAATTGGTAGATGGAGAAACAAGCGACAGGCATCGAAAGATGTAAGAATCTTCAGATTTTCTGGAGTTACAGGCCGAAAGTCGTGAAAATTAGTGATTTTTACAATTTTTCACCGTTTGTAGCTCGTAGCAACGTTAACCGAATTTTTGAGCATGCACATAACTGACATAAATCTACAAAACGTAGGTTTCAAATTTTCCCAATTAAATTTTGAATTCAAATTTTCACAAGCTCAGATCAAAAATTTGTAAAAAACGACCTTCACAATTTTCGCGATTTTCACAAGCTGTAATTTTTTCAAAATTTTTGCTACACGTCATCTAAATAGTAAACTAATCCTAATTTCTCAAAAACTCATTTGGTTCAATTTTCAGAAAAGTTATACCGTTCTAAAAGTGGCCGAAAATTAACGACTGTAACTATGGTACAGAGATGAGAAAATGGCTAAAAAGACCTTGAACACGTGTTACGTTACCGTGAAACAAGTTTTAGAAATTTTCAGCTCGTGGACCATTTCAGCCACCTGCGGATATTGCTAAAAATATGAAAAGTCCTTTGCAGGAGTACAGGACGATCGTATTTTAGGAACGGCAGAGCAATAATACGACAGACGGTCTTATCCACCTTCTGCATTTTCATACTATGTTGCATCGGTCAACTTCTTATCGATGAAGTACGTGATTATTTTTTCCACTGATTTTTTCGGTTTTTTACACTTAATAGAAGTATTTCCATTAACAGAATTACGTGGTTGGATTAACATCTTGCACGGTGAATTGGTGTCGTCCTCCAAACAGACATGTGCGCTATCTGACCGCTGATAATTGCCATGTCTAATTACCTAATAAGATTAGCAAGTAGTAAAGTGGTCGAAATAAATTTAGCTACTTTCACAGATGTAAGTACGAAAGAATATCTAATTTTTCCATCGGTAAACTTAAAATTTTCTAGCTTCCATTGAAATACAACGGACAACACTCGAAAGTAGTTTGCATACAGTGGAATCGTTGGATCTTGAAATCAATGGCTTTGTGGTTTGACAAATCCAACATTTCACCGGTCGAGAAATAACTACACTCGGCTAATCAGTGCCGTTTGTTAAGGATTGATGGGTTACTTTTTAATATTATGCAGTTTACACGTGTTTCTTGACGTAGAAAATATACTTAAAAAGATTAAATTGTTTGTTCCCCTAGTACTACTTTGCTTGGCTACGATTTTGAAGTGTCATTTGTCGGTACTTCATGATGACGATACTTACACGTGTGGCGAGCATATAAAATGGGAGTGGAGGTATTGTGTCACGCACGACGAGGATAAAAAAATTAGAGATAAACGTGATCTTTTGTGCCTTCTGCATGTACAGGGTGCAAAAAAATTAATGGTCACATCTTCAGGGGGTGAATCTTGGATCGGTGGACAATTGTGAAACAAAGTTTCCGCAAAATTGTTTATAATATTGAATATTCATGTAAATTTTTTTTTACATCAACGTATTCTGCTCGACGAGAAGAGAAAAAGTCTGAAAGGAGCCATATCCCGCAAACAAATAGTTTCCGAGATAAACGTTGATAAAGTTTGGCAACGATTTGATTGAGTAGAGCTATACGTATAGGACCTACTGACCTACTGCCTACTAACGCTCTGCCATTTGGTAGGATCTAGCCGTGTAGGACACGCTCGTTGTAATGGCGTAAGTACGTGTCCCTACGCAAACGCCGTTTAAAGGGACAGCAAGGTCTAAACTCGAAGGTAGGCCCGAAACAAACGGCGTTTGAGTAGGGGCATGCACACCATTATACCGAGCGTGTCCTGCACGGCTAGATTGTTAAGCACTCGGGTACTGATTTCCGCGTACTTCGAATATTGCACTTGGTGCCGTCTGAAGATTGAATGTATTGCGTTGAGAGCCTGAGTGAATCTTTACGATTCCTGAGGTAACTGCTGGTCTGTGTACTAACACTCTCTCGTCTTAAGCTAAGTCGGCCTTCTTATCGAGTCGTCCCTCCTCCAAATCTTCTAAAATTTGAAGAAGGGACGCGAAGGGAGGTTCTTAAAATTACTAAGTGACCAACCCCGTATCACCCCCTTCCATTGCACCTGGAGCGCGTCGCGTCCTTGGAGCGGGGGTGACGAAGCTGGTCCTTGGTGGACGGGAATTTGCCAGGTCAACTCTGACTCTCCGACTCGTTCGGAAGGTCAGGTATCGAGAGGCCTCGGTAATTGCATCGGTTTCGAAGACCCTTTGGGGGTGACTTTATGATATCTTGCCTTACCGACTGAACAATAGCCTATTCTTTAATATTTGAGAAATTCTAGGTGCCGCATGTTGGCTGCAGACCGGTCTGCTAAATTAAAAGTAACGGTTTGCTGAACTAGAAATCACGTATCATAAAATCGTCTCCTTGCTGTCCTTTTTTTTTTAGGGTCCGAAACCACCGCCGAGTTGGAGTGCCTCAGCCCGGGTGCAGGGAATCCGTCGTAAGACATAAGCGTCCCGCATCCGGCGTTGGGTGGCCGGTGGCAATAAGGTTAAGTTAGCTTAGGCCCCTCTACTTCTCTCAACTGGGCTTGGGACCAGCTATGGCAGTCGCCCCCAAGTCGGTACGCCCTCCCAGTGGGACTCTGGGTGGCCGCCTTCCAGAGAGAGTTAGGCGCAGTTTGTATCGCTAAGTAACACTATATTTACACTCGCGAAACGTCACTGCTTCTTTTTCGTCCCTGTCCTTTCCTCCCAGTGGGACTCTGGGTGGCCGCCTTCCAGGGAGGGTTAGGCGCAGTTTGTATCGCTAAGTAACACTATATTTACACTCGCGAAACGTCACTGCTTCTTTTTCGTCCCTGTCCTTACACACTACCCAAATTTATCCCTATCTTATTATACCCTTCCCTCGGTGTATGTACAAACTCATTCACTCGATTAAGTCCCTTCCCCTAAATTCCCCACATGCATTAAACCCCCAAAGGTCACTCACTCGTCCTCACACTCCCCTTGCTGTCCTAACGTAGATCCTACCAAATGGATTCACCCCCGAAGCTGTGACCATTAATTTTTTTACACCCTGTGCACAGATTTTACCTTTTATTTTTTTGTTGTATCGCTTGGCTTGGAGAAAATGGTAGCAGAGGATCTTAGTGTGACGTTCTCCTTCTCAGGATTTATCATTGATGTTAGATACAGTCCTGTGAACGAGATCTTCTTCTCGATTCGAATCGTAGCTGTCATCCTAATTCACGGTGTCACTGTAGGAGCTTGTTGCTTGACAGCGTTGTTTGCGGTTCACGATTGCGGCCAGATGGACGTTTTGATGGCCTGGCTGGAACATTTGATGGATGGTCGTTCGGATATGAGTAAAATGTGAATGGCAGAATGGTGACCATCGTGAGCCAACACATACGGATACTGAAATGTGTGGAACATCCTAATTCACGGTGTCACTGTAGGAGCTTGTTGCTTGACAGCGTTATTTGCGGTTCACGATTGCGGCCAGATGGACGTTTTGATGGCCTGGCTGGAACATTTGATGGATGGTCGTTCGGATATGAGCAAAATGTGAATGGCAGAATGGTGACCATCGTGAGCCAACACATACGGATACTGAAATGTGTGGAATGTATTCTTTGCATGGTGTAAATAGGTTAATTGGTAATTAATTCGATTGAACATGACAGTGGTGAATGGTGATCAAAGGAGTTAGCGAACTTTGCAACCTTGGAGCTAGCAATCTTTTCGGAAAAGAAATATACAGAGCTGAAGTTTCAAATTTGAAAATTTTCAATTTAAAGATTTGAATATTTATATTTGTAAATATTTAAATTTAAATGTGACAATTTAAATTGAAAAGTTTTCAAATTTGAATGTGAAATTTTCAATGTGAAAACTTAAATTTGAAAATTTGAATTTAAAAGCTTGAATACTGGAATATTTGAAAATTGGAAAAATTGAATGTGAAAATTTGAAATTACAGTTTTTAATTTAAGCGTAATTAGCAATTAACGATCATTGCGTTCCAGATTCTCAGATCTCGCAGATAAATCACTCTACATTTTTTTCCATTAAATACATCTTACTCCGGACAACGCTACTGCATTAACAAACAAATTTAAAACCCTTACTCTCTCTCACTCGCGATCCACGCGCAACTTGAACGATCTAACCGCAACTCTACGTACAACGCTCCCCTTTCATACTCAACCCTTTCATAATTATTCACGTACTCCGCGGTAATACACCGTTACGAACTTCGCAAACTCTAAAAATCCTCTAGAAATTCGTAAACATTACTTACGTACATCTTCAATACCACCAAATCATACCGTTGCAAATACCATTTACAACATAATCACACATTTACCACATATCTCTCCATACCTAAAAAGAACCTATCCACAAAAAATCTTCCTTATAACAGCCCAACAAAAAGATCAACTGCAAAATCGCAAAAAATTTCCCTCGTAAACGAAACTTCTTAACTACCAGATGCGTCGTAAAACTCGCCCAGCTGGGTGCACCAAGGACGGTAATTTCCACCAAATTGCTCCAACTCTAAACTATTCACGAACGCAAGCGCAATATCGCTCTCCGGACAAATCTCGCGCGGCACAATCCTCCTCGCTTTGCCAGTCGCGAGTTTTACGCCACGATGAAAATGTCTGGAATCGCGAGGGCAGAAGAGGACCTGAGATACGCGACACGTTTCGTGAAGCCGATTTTAGGGATAGTCGGTGCGTGGCCGATTCCAGTGAACTCCTCTCCGTTCACGAGGCTAGTACGGCGAATAGAACACGTAGTCACCTATTTCCTCTTCTTTCTGATGATCGTACCTGGCCTCTTGTACGTGTTCCTGAAGGAGAAGAACGGCAAAATTCGCCTGAAGATTCTCGGGCCGATCGTGAACTGCAGCATACAGTTCTTCAAGTACTCCGTCATTCTCTACCGGATCGACAAAATTCAGAAGAGTTTGAACACCATCAGACGCGACTGGATAGAGGCTACGGATGAAAATCGGTTGATTTTCCGCTCGAAAGCGAAGATCGGGCGAAGAGTGTTGCTGATTGCAGCCGCCACTATGTACGGCGGTGGTTTGTGTTACAGGACGATTCTTCCTTTGTTGAGAGGAACGATCGTAACACCTGATAACGTTACCATAAGGCCGTTGCCGTGTCCGGTTTACTTTGTTTTCTTTAACGAGCAACGTTCGCCGAATTACGAGATTGTTTTTATACTGCAAATTATGGCTGGTTTTGTTACTTACGCTGTTATCAGCGGCACATGCGGTATGTGCGCGCTGTTCGTTCTCCACGCGTGCAGCATGCTGAGGATTTTGGTGAACAAGATGAACGCACTTGTGGATAAGGCGGACATGACCGAGACACTTGTGCACAGGAAGATCGCTGATATTGTTGAATATCAGACGAAGATAAAGAGGTGAGTGGAAGTTGGATGGTGAAAATTGTTGGGAAGTATGTGGAGGTTGATTCTATGGTGGATTTTGTGAGGTTTGAGAGGTGGTGCAGGCTTGCAAGGGAAGTTTGCGAGGTGGTGAGCACTGGTGTTGAGGAAACTGGTTTGTGGAAGTATTCAGAGAAATATTTGATAGGTATTCTTTTTTTATTGGCAATTGCGTATATCGAAAGGATGAAAATTGCTATCATTTCGCCATTAAAAGCGCCATTATTTCGCCTTCTAAAGCGCCATAATATCACTATTAAAATCGCGATTTTATTATTAAAATTTATTAATTTAAAATCGTGATTTTGTTATCGAAATTTGTTAATTAAAGTCGTCATAATTTCGCCATTAAAATCGCTTTAATTACGCGATTTTATTATTAAAATTTACGAATCAAAATCGCTATAATTTCGCCTTGAAAATCGCTTTAATTACGCGATTTTATTATTAAAATTTACGAATTAAAATCGCTATAATTTCGCCTTGAAAATCGCCATAATTTCGCCTTGAAAACTGTCATAATTTCGCCTTGAAAATCGCCATTATTTTGCCATTAAAATCGCGATTTTATTATCAAAATTTACGAATCAAAATCTCCATTGTTATTTTTCGTCAATTTACACGATTCCTCTATCTGCAATAGTTTCCCAGATATTAAATGAAATATATTTACCGCCTCCAACTTTGATGCCAATTTTTACCCCTTCACCGCGAACGATCGCCGATACAAGAAACACACGTGTCAAATATTTTCTTCAAAACTAGCATGTACCAAAGTTTCACCAAAATCGGTGATTGTCACTTCGAATTTATCCTTTGAAAGTGTATACTAAGTACAGTTACAAAAGAATATAGACACTGTATACGTGACTTGTTTGCAGATTTTTAAAGAACATTGAAACAATTACAGAGTACATTTGTTTAACCGAAATGGTGGGCGGTACGGGTCTAGTATGTCTCGTGTATTATTACATTCTCATGGTACGAAATGATATTGTCGAAAATGTCGACAGTTCTTTACAGAAATACAGGACGATCGTGTTTTAGGAATGGGAGAACAATAATACAACAGCGGTTATAGTGTACATCACGTTGCAGATATCTTGTACATTCTGCGTTTTTATACTATGCTACATCGGGCAGCTTCTTATCGATCAAGTGCGTGATTACGTATCAATGAAGTACGTGGATTCTTTGGATTTTTTTAACTCTTACTAGAAGTATTACCATTTTTAACAGAACCACGTCGTGGGATTGACATCTTGCACGGTGAATTGGTATCGTCTTCCAAACAGACATGCGCGCTCTATGATACTGATAATTGCCATGTCTAATTACCCAATAAAATTAACAGCTGGTAAAATGTTCGAAATGTCTTTAGCTAGTTTCACCGATGTAAGTATGAAACAGAATCGAATGTTTTTTTTCATTGATAAACTTGCAGTTTTGCTTGTAAACATTGGGACACCTGTTGAATGTTGACTAAATTTAAATGGCCAATTACTAGACCGCGGATTTTTACGCAAGTTCATATTTTCATGAATGTAATTGAAAAGATAGAAGGTAGATAGGCAACTGTTTTATACGCTAAATATTACGAGTACTATATTTAGGGTTTATTTATGTATTTTTGCTTATGTGCATTCTGTGTATTTTCGTGTCTTCAGGTTTTTCATAAATGCATAAAAATTCGCAATCTAGGCATTAAAATACTATTCAGATCCAAAAAGGAATTATTCTGTTCGGAATCTTGAAGTATAACGAGCACATCTTAATACTACACTATATGTATAGATCATTCGTAACTCCATTCGTAATTTCATTCATAAGTCCTAGAAATAGGCAATAATTTAATTTTCCTTTTTTTCGTTGCACTTCTTTTCCTAATTTTTGTAAATTAATATTCTCTGGATAGGTGTACAAAAAGTCATATTTTTCTTGCAAAAGTGGACAAATTTAAAATCAACTCCGCGTTCAGTGCTAAAACTCAATAATGAATTCGGTTGATCTATTAATGAATTTAAAATGTCTATATAGCTGTAGTATTAAAGTAACGATATGATACTGATGAGAGAATGGAAGTTTTGTATGAAGGTTTCTAACGAATCAGAATATCCTAGAGTTTCAAGCCTATTCGAAAGATGTTAGGGTCACAGTGATAAAGGTGCAAAAGAAGAAAGTCGGATCAGAGCAATAGAGGTGCGAAAGAAGAATATTTGGAACAGAATGCTTGAGATTTCAGACTGAATGTTACCTAAAAGTATCTAAAATGAGTGAGAGAAATAGAATAATAGGGTGGAAGATGCGTATGCAAAAGTCTAACATAAACACAACTCTCTGAGTGTTATGCAAACATAATTATTAATTTTCATAAAAAATAATCACTCCTGTGTCTCTAACTCATTCACGTGGAATTTCGTTAAGTAATCCCTACACTAACTTTAGCAGAAAAATATAACAGAAATCCTATATGTAATACTTTCTGTACGAATATAACAGGTGTCCCCATACTTATAATCACCGGTATACATTTCTTTCACAAACGATATTCCCCAGGTAATGAAGGTGGCGATGGGATACTTCAACATACTCCGTGAAGTCGTATAAGATCTCGATACTTGCAGTAATATACATTACAAATAGTACATTAGATGTTGCTCCTCGCTAGAAATTAGAATATAGAAACATGTTGATCACAGAACTATCACATTCTTCTTAAATAAAATCATACCTCTCGATACTCGTGTATCCTTTTCTTAAAAAATAGAAAAAATTCTCACGTATCTACAACTCAAGCTTCCCTCGAAGCATCGTGAGTACTACTCGAAGATAATTTCTCAGAAAGTTAGCAAAAAGAGTTATTCTTCAACCTCATACGACCACTGAACACTATTTTGTTTACTTTCCCCTTACGATCACTGTAATCATACGTTCGTCCCTGGTAGTCTAATTTTTCTACAACCACTTTTGAAAAATCCACCTCGAAACTTGTCATTACTGCGACCAACCACTGCTCACGACTAAAATTACATCGGCAACGGTAGAAAAAGTTGCTCGAGAAATTCTAGCTAAAGAAGCGCAAGCGCGCGATCCAAGCATGACTCACAAGCAACGAATCATCCTAGAACAACCATCAGTGAGCTTGAAACACTCGATGTGCAACGATGAGACAAATATTCCTCAACAGAAACTACAAGAACGATCTGAGCTTCAACGTTCGTCTGAACGTGTGGACGTTGAAGATAATCGGCTCCTGGCCGAGATCTATAGATCGTTCCTGGTTAGAGAACAGCCAGCATATTCTCTTAAACGTACTCAGTCACTGTTTGCTCGGTTTCATCGTGATACCGACCGGCATGTTCGCGATCCTCGTAGTCGAGGATTTTTACGACCAATTAAAGATCTGTAGCGCTCTGAGCTTCTTCATGATGGCGTTCACGAAGTACGTGATCATGACTGTCCGCGAGGGTGACATACGGAAGTGTGTCGAGTACGTCGAGGCTGATTGGAGAAACGTGGAGCACGAGGAGGACAGGAAGATCATGTTGGACAACGCGAGTTTCGCCAGGAAACTGATCGTGATATGCGGAGCTTTCATGTACGGAGGTGTAATTTTCTATTACATCGCTTTGCCGCTCACTCGAGACAAGGTCGTCGAGGAGGGTGGCAATTTGACGTACAGAAGGCTGGTTTATCCTGTTCCTAAGTTCATTCTGGACGTTCGATACAGTCCTGTGAATGAGATTTTTTATACGGTACAATTGTTGTCGGGTTTCGTTGCTCATAATATCACGGTTGGGGCTTGCGGTTTGGCCGCGCTGCTCGCGATGCACGCGTGCGGACAGCTGCAGATTTTGATGTCCTGGATGGAGAAGTTGGTCGATGGACGGGAGGACGAGGAGAAGAATTTGGATCAGAGGTTGGCTAATATCGTGGAGCAGCATGTTCGAGTGATCAAGTAAGATGTGTACGGTTACTTTTACTAATATTCGGACGTTGTTTGGAAGAGTACGACTGTTTTAAAATTGGACCGAACGAGTTGAGTCGAAAGGACAATGGTAGAAATTGGCCAATTTTGGGACTGGCTGTTTTAATTGAGCATTTCGGATTCCTTAAAAACTGGAGAATCATGATTTATACAAAATTTTTGGTGCCAGTCAGGTCCAAAGTTGGCCAATTTCTACCTCTCCGTTGTCCTTTCGAAGATGAAATTTTCAGCATGTGTATAATTGACATAAATCGATAACACAAAACGTATTCTTTAAATTTTCATTACGAGCTCGCATAAAGAAGTTGTGAAAAGTGATCTTTATAATTTTACTTTATAATACATCTAGTATAGTATACCTCCTAGCTTCTCAAGGGAACTCAAGTCGCTTGGTCCAGTTTTAAAAAAGTTATACCGTTCTAAAGAGCAGGGGTCGGGAACCTGCGGCTCTTAAATGTTTAATAAAAGTCTGCTGTTGCCACCACAGAACCGACAGTTACCACCCAAAAAATGACTATAATGCGTCATTTAAACTTAAACTTAAATTAAAATTGCGGCTTCCTAAATTTTATTTCTTGTACGTTATTTTGTTAAAATGGCTCTTCGGCTCCGAAAGGTTCCCGACCCCTGTAAAGAATGTCCGAATATTAGTGAGAGTAACTGTATGTATATACAGGGTGAATATCTCTGGAACCATGAAAGTAAGAAGAAAATTAGATCAAAGTGAACGTAACATTGCTAGTGGTTCGATGAAAAATGTTTTACCATGGTATTGATAATATTATTTAAGACAAAGTAGTTTTACCCATTTTTTTTATCTCTCTTTTCGTAAATTCTTAAGGTGAGCCTCGATTCTATATGTAGATACAAACTTAGAGCTCGATAAAAATAATGATTTAAAAAGGGAAAAAACAGAGGAAATAGTGTCTTTGTCTAAATGTTTGTTAATTACTGGACAAAGAACTGTGAATTTGGATAAAAATATGTCACTAGCAAGAAAAGTATATAACAAAGGGTGTTCGCTACTTCGCTCTCTCCCTTTGGAGTTCGATCGGTCGCGAGCGAGTACAGTTTTAAGCCACGTGTTTGAACGTTCGGTTAAAATCGTCTTATTTGAACCCACGGTCAGCCCGAAGCACGCGGTTCGGCACGCACAGCTTTGCGATCCAAAGTACAGTGTTCGGAAGATTAAAGGCGCCGAAAGCTGAACAGGTGGCGGCTCACAAAGCGAAGCGAAGCGGATAAAGTCTATACGTGTTACCAGGTCGAGCGACAAACAGGAAGAGAGTTAGGCAGAAGACCGTTATCCTCGCCGAAAATTTGCGCGCTCTCCTGCTAATCACAGGTGAGCGCGCGAGCAGAGGGACGGATTTGGATGTTACCGTTGCGTGAACAAAGGGAGTCACGTTATATGGCTCACCCTGTATATATTTTTGTTTAGTAATAAGGGATACATACTTTGTTACTATAAGTGAATATAACGACAGGATCATCTTGATGTTTCAGTTTTATAGCTCTGACAGAGAACCTCCTGCACGAGATATCATTGATAGAAATGGTGGGGTGCACTCTGAACATGTGTTTCCTTGGCTATTACACGATGATTGTATGATTCTAGGTATGAAGTACGAAGCATTGGGATATAAGTTCTGATTCGCAATTTCTTCTCTAGGAATGGGACTCTAAAGACCCTATCAGCAGTCTGACGTACATAGTACTCCTCACTTCTGTCACGTTTAACATCTTCATATTCTGTTACATCGGTGAAGTGTTGGCTGAACAGGTACATATATTTATATTTTTTATCGTTGAAAATTTTCTTGATTAATCGAACGACTAATTTATATCCAACGATATGTTTCATCCTGTAATCAATTTAAAATAGTAAACATGTGTAAAAAGTACTGTACTCTCAAGTTATTTATTAGGTTTTAGCAGATAAAATGACCGAAATGTTAATAAAAATTACAAGTGTAGTTTTATTGAAAATATAATATTTATTAGTCGAAGTATGATTTACTTATGCAGTGCGAGGTAATTTATGTCTTTTTTTAAAAAAAGACAATTTAACGACAGTTTATTTTTGGACAAAGTAAATTTTTGTTTAACTGAAGTGTGATCAGTGGAGCTTAATCTTGAAGTACGGCTAACTTTTGTGTACGATCTGCTATTTGACAGTAAAATAATTGACGAATTTTAGCTGGATTTGAGTTTTAACCATTTGTCTTCTAACGAGTCAGACTCGTGACACAGATTTTGGTCAAAATTAATTTTAATTCTAATTTTCATTTTAACTTATAACACTGAGGAGTACCAAATGTGATTACTCTATAATACAGCGGCTGTACTATTAGAAGAGAAAATGGCTGACGCTTAGATCCATAGTTTGCAAAAAAATCGTAAGTCAAGGGGTTAAATTGACGTACTTACAGTAAGTTAACGAAATTTAGTAAGAACGAAGTTCTCAAATCTGTCATTTCATATGCAAAAATCTAATATTATGATACATGTAAGTATGTCTTCTCTTTCTTGAGGAATGTAATTTGTATAATTGAAAACACGCATTATAGAGATTACAAAACTATTTGCGATAAAGTTTGTAATGTGATTCAAGTGTATATATAAGAAATATGAAAAGTACTGAAAAATATGAAAGAAGTGTATATGTGTAAATATAAGAAATTTGAAAAATACGAAAATTTTGCAAAAATATGAAAGAAGTGTATATGTGTAAATATAAAAAATATGAAAAAAGTAAGATAAATTTCTCATATTTTGACAGACAGTAAAAGTTGGAGAAAAGTCTTACATGATCGACTGGTATCGAATGCCAGGAAAGAAAGGTTTGGTCGTACCCTTGATGATCTCCATGTCACATTCGACCACCAAAATCACCGCTGGCAATCTCATCGTTCTTTCAATCAGTAGTTTCGGTGACGTAAGTGTTACACACACACACACACACCTAAACTAACAACCAAAAATTTATCCACTCTACAACTACAAACTCTTTCGTTACAAACATTTTTTAAAACACCGCAGGTTATCAAGACTTCGGTAACATACTTGAACATGCTACGAACATTCACAACCTAAGAAAATTCTCGGAAACGCAATTAGATAATAAACCGACACTGTGATTTCCCTATCGAGCATTAGATAAAAAGAATAAATACAGGAATATCTCGTCTACGTATTAAATTTCCTATTTTTTCAACAAAAACTTCTATAGTAAATCCAACGAAACGGTCTTTAACACTTTGCACTCGAGTGGCGACTGAGAAGCGACGTTACTCTTCACTATTTGATAGATAATTAAAATAAATAAAAAAAGAATGCATTATAATTGAAATACCTTTGTCAATATACATATTGTACGATTTATTTCTGTGTCAGTTTCCAAAAATTTCCTCCATTTTCTAGCAAATGCTAAATATGAATTTTGAAGGTCTTCGTGTGCAAAGGGTTAACGCTTGAACCGAACGTTACGATTTTTCGAAAAGAACAAACGCAGTTCGCGTGCTTGGAAATCGATCATCGGTAAATTTATGCTCGAGCATCGGTCAACACTCTGTGTGCAAACTTACAAAATCAATTTCTCGATATTTCGCTGTCATTATCCTGCTCTCTGCATTCATAATGCATAAAGTGTGAAACTGGAAGGGCAAAAGGGTTCGACCCCTTGGAAAATGTTGGTCGTATAGTTTGAAGAAGCCACAGAAACCAGGAGCGCAAGCGCAGTATCTTCCTCGGTAGATTTATCGTTGGATCAAGGATAGATTTAGTGTCACACGAGCAGTCAAGTGTCGACGATGCAAAAACCGGGAGGAAAAGATGAGAAATTGCAGGTCGAAGACTGTACCTACGAGAAACGTGTAAATTTAAGTATACCGTGGAATCGTTGGCTTTTGAAACCAACGGGTTTGTGGCCCGACAAGTCCTACGTTTCACCGATCGAGAAAAACATCGCTCGATTGGTCAATACTGTTTGTTACGGTTTGATCGGTTACCTTGTAATACCGTGCAGTTTGTACGTGTTCCTCGACGTAGAGAATATATTTAAAGAGATCGAATTGTTCGGCATTTTTGCATTTTGCGTGGCTGCGCTGTGGAAGTATCATTCGTTGATACTTCACGGTGACGATATTCGTACGTGTGTCGAGCATATGAAATATGACTGGAAGAATATCACGCACGAGGAGGACAAAGAAATTATGGCGTTGAACGCGAGCTTTGGAAAGAGGATAGTGACAATTTGTGCTTTCTTCATGTACACAGGTTTCACGTTTTATTTCCTCGTCGTACCGATCAGCGCGGATAAAATGGTAGCGGAGGATCTTAACGTGACATTCAGACAAATGGTGGTCCCTGTCTCGAGATTTATCGTCGATGTTCGATACAGTCCTGTGAACGAGATATTCTTCTTGATTCAGATTATAGCTGGAGTACTGATTCATGCTATTGCGGTGGTAGCTTGTAGCTTGGCAGCTGTGTTTGCGGTTCACGCTTGCGGACAGATGGGCATTTTGATGAGCTGGCTGGAACATTTGATAGACGGTAGAGAGGATATGAGCAAGAATGTGGACGACAGAATCGCGGTCATCGTGAACCAGCATGTGCGGATACTGAAGTGGGTGGAATTGTGGGTAATTTGAATGGAGGTGGTAGTGGTGAATGGCGGTCAGAGGATTTAGTTAACTGGACTGAAGATGTTTGGGAAAAGAGATGTTCAAGGTTGAAATTTTAAATTGGAATCTGAAAATTTGAATATTTGAATCTGAAAATTTGTAAATTTCAATTTTAAAATGTGAAAATTTGAATATAAAAATCTC